CTTAGCAGTAAATCTTCCATATTTGTCCACTTTCTATCAAATGCTAGGGTCTTGATTTTTATGGCAGAGTAGTATTCCATAGTGCATATGTGCCACACTTTTTCAATTCAATCATCTGCTTGTGGATATTTGGGTTGGTTCTATTAGCAATCGTGAATAATGCCACAATAAACATGGATGTGCAAGTAGTTTTCTGACTGAGTGTATTCCTATCCTTTGGGTAGATACCCAGGAGTGGAATTGCTGGATCATATGTTAGTTCTATTTGTACATCTTTGAGGACCCTCCATATTGTTCTCCACAGTGGTTGTACTAATTTACATTCCCATCAATACTGTAGGAGAGTTCCCTTTTCACCACAGCATTGCCAGCACTTATCATTTTTATTTTTTTAATCTAAGCCATTCTGACTGGGGGTTAGATGGTATCTCATCATGGTTTTGATTTGCATCTTCCTTATGATAAGGGATGTTGAGCATTTTTTTCATATGCTTTTTTGGCTATTTGTATGTCTTCCTTAGAGAATTGTCTGTTCAGCTCATTTGCCCATCTTTTAAGCAGGTTGATTTTTTTTTTCAGGTAAGTTGTTTGAGTTCCCTATATATTCTGGTTATCGGTCCCTTATCTGAGGCATAGTTTGCAAATATATTCTCCTATTCTGAGGGTTGTCAGTTCACTCCAATGATCACTTCTTTTGCTGAGAAGGAGCTTTTTGATCTGATGTAATCTCATTTGTCTATTTTTGGGATTATTGCCTGTGTTTTAGAGGTCTTATTTAAGAAGTCTTTTCTGCTCCAATGTCTCCAAGAGTTTACCCTGTATTATCCACCAGTTCTTTTATAGTTTGAGCCCTCAGATTTAGATCTTCAGTCCATTTTGAGTTGATTTTTATTAATAGTGAGAAATAGGGGTCTAGTTTCATCTTTCTGCAAGTGGATACCTAGTTTTTCCAGCACCATTTGCTAAAGAGACTTTCTTGGAAATGAGAACTACATCCCCGAAATATTAATCAAAGACTCCTTACATCAGAATTATCTGGGGCATTTGATGAAGGGCAGATTGTTAAGGCACTATCTCCAAACCTACTAAATCACAATCTTTAGGTGTGGTGCCTGTTTTCTTGATTACAAATACTGAACATTAAAAAACATTGCATCTAGCACATGATTCACACAAAGTACTAGTCAATAAACTGTCCATTTTCAAATCTGCTAGAGCAGCCAACTGAAGTGATTTAATTGAATAAACCACTAAAACAGATAAAATAATGTAGTAAATGGATGTTTTTCAATAAATGAAAACATAAGAAAGCAAAAAAATTAAGCAAAAAAAAAGAGAGAGAAAGAGAGAAGCAGCAGCTCTTTTAAGTATCAGAACTCTCAACATATACCATAGTTTAAAGTTATATTGGTTCTTTTATTTCTAATAAATAGAAGGAAAGTGTCAACTTTAGTATTCAGAACCAGGCTTCTAGTAGTCACAACTTCCCAAACCACAAATTGCATTGGACTAGAAGAAATTAAACTAGAAACAAAATCTAATTCAAGAAATATGCAGTCATTATTCCCATTTTTGTTTTTGTTTTTAGAGATTTTTTGCTATAGGGCACACATGCTCACTGGAGAGAGAAAAATGCTGGACTTCCACATAGTCCTGTATTAAAACCAAGTATTTCACTCTGCTTTTTCAGGCAGGATTTCTTGGCTTCTTCTTTAACATAATTACTAGAAGGTTTGACTATCTGATTTTCTAAGTAACAACAGGCTGTAAACAAACCAATGTAAACAAGAGCATAACAACCAATGATTAGGATGGAGACAGAACAAGAGCCACAGAATGAATGCAATAGATGTTCTTTATGATGACAAAACATCACTGTAAGAAGGCAATATTTTGTAAGAACATATGCAAAACATTTTTAGAAAACTATTCATGGAGTTAAAATGTAAAAGGTTTTAATATTTAAAAAGGTAAGGATCATTTATTTAAAACCAACCATCTTGAGACCAGCAGTTAGCATAATGGCTATGTCTCTGGACTACCATGTAGTTGACCAATGGTTCGAGTCCCGGACCCGGTGGCTTAAACTCACTCCGGGTGCATGTGCATGCGTGCCCAGGATCCCAAGAAGAGAATGGAGGAGAGGGGACTGTGGCATGCATGGCCATGCTCTCTGGGGGGTGATTTCTCGCTTTCTGTCTCTCTGTGTCTCTCTGTCTTCCTGGTAAGCATACCCACCCTATAGCAAAAACCTCTCAAAAAAAAAAAGTGGTCATTAAAATGTTATTGTTAAAAAGAAATCTTACTGAGAACATCTATCATGGTCCAATGAAATCAGATAATCAAGAGTTAACAAAACATAACTGGTTTTATTTTCCAGATTGGAAGAAAAAAAACAAAAACAACCTAATATGCCATGATTCTGATGATATATAAATCCATTTCTGTAGCCGGTGGCCCCAGAAATTACTGTAAAACATGTTGATAGAAGATGGAAAATTTCAGAGTACGTTATCAACTATGAAAAAATAATTAAGGGGAAGTCCTACTTCAAGATGTATACTTCCAATAATAAGGGACAATAGCCAAATTGGGAAAAACAAACAAACAAACAAAAACATCACTACCAAGGAATAAAATATCCTGTGTAATACTAAAATATTCCAAGGCTAGGGATTGTTTGTAGTAATGCTGTTCCCTGGAAGAGATGGGATTTTTAAAGAGTTGAATAGAGAGGTCTGATACCCAAGAGAAGTCAGAAATAAAGAATGATATGACAGTCATTGGCATTTATATAAGGCAACAATGCAGAGATCACTCAAAAGATCTATTAGGTCATTATAAAAGTCATGATATATTTTTCTATGCAAAATTGACTTTTATGATGACCCTATATGGTAAGAAGATGTACGTAAAACAAAACAAAGGGAAACACCAATACTTGAGTGATGAAGAAAGGAAGACTACCAAAATTCTTTATATCACAAAGGCCTTGAATATAGCTACGTGATAGTATGGAAAATAATGAAGAAAGCATAGCCATAAAATTATGAAGAAACCCAGATGTAGTATTGACTATTGGTATTATGTCCAGATCCCCTTTACTGGGCCAGTGAAACCATCCTCCTGCTACTTTAAAGAATTACCATCTATTCAAGAGAACTATCTTACCCTAAAATGCCTGGAAGGTTATACCTTCATCTAGGGGGCCAACAGACAGTGACTGATTGAAATGAGGATAAAATAGCCTAGGCCCCTTGCCTTGAGGAAGGGTAAATCTGTAATGCTATTTATACTACACATCTCCCCATGGGGTCATATTGAGGTCCCACTCTAAATGAAATAATACCTTTGTTTTACTTCTTCCCTTTCTCTAGCTTGCTTTGTTACTTCCTTACAAGTTTCTCCTGAGAGCACTCTCTCAGTAAATCATTTTCTCAAGCATCTTTATCTCATCTGCTTATAAAGAACCTAATCTAAGCACCAGGAGGTGCTTGTGATGTCTCTGAAATCAAAGAGAATTATTTTTAAACTATATATCTATATTTTTCTATATGTATGTTTATTTCATAATAAACTGGAGCTGAAGAGGGAGAAGTCGATAACATTGAACATACTATAAGCTACTACAGAATTGGGTAACATAAAAACAGGCAAGTGTTTATTTTTAGCAACAGAACCAACACTATCCATCTTGGTTATATGTCCCCACTAAATATATACCGAGTGTCCACACTCTATGACTGAAATTGATTGACTAAAGGATATAGAAACACAGTATATAGATGTAAATTCCAGATATAGTGTGTGTGAAAGAGGAGGGTCTGAGAAAGGACATTTAGAAGAAAAATAGGGAGGCAAAGCATTAATGGGACAAAGAAATGTGATATTACCTGTTGAAGATATTTTGTAGTTTTATCAACTGTATTAGGGAGAAATGTTCACCTGTAGAAATATCTATTTTGTAAGCCAAATAATGCGATTGAATGTATAAAAGAAAATAGTAAAAGAAAAGAAATTGCCTTAGAGTCATAGGGATGGAAGTCAAACAACAGCAGATTGAGGAATAGGTGAAAAGTGAGTAGAGACAACAAAGTATATCACTCCTTCAAAAAGTATGATTGTGAAGGGTAGCTAAGACTTAAGGCACTATCTGAAAGGAAGATTATTAAATTTAAGATTCTTTATCGTGGGGCCATCAGGAGGCTTATGGTTAAGGTGGTGGACTCCTATGTAACTGACTGCAGTTCTAGTCTTGGACCTACTGGCTTGAAGCTCATGCTAGGCACATGCATGCATGCCAAAAATCCTGAGAGGAGACTGGAGGAGAAGGGATTACAGCATGACCATGCCCCTGGGGAGTGATTAAAAAAAAACCTCTCTCTTTCTCCAGCAAGTACACACGCCCTATAGCAAAAAAAAAATCTCTCTCAAGGGAAAAGAAAAGACTCTCAATCATGATTAAATGTCAGTGGGCCAGAACCAATAGAAAGGGATGGGATGAGGATCTAAGAGACAAGAGATAAAACTGAGAGCAAAAGACTTGAAGAGACAATACCACAGAGGGGGACCTAGCCAAAGTAGTGCTGCCAGTGAGGGCACTGCTATGCAATACTGGAGGCCAAATGGAAAGGTTCTGAGTTTGCGTTCCAAGTCTACCTGAGCATGGTAGGCATATCCATTTTTCTGGCTTGGTGCAAGGCTAGGGAGAGTATCACGGTGTCACACCCTATTGAGAGTCTCTCTTGCTCACTCTAAGTAGTTGAAAAATAATGAAAAATAAAGCCATGGGCTGAGAGTTGCCCAAGAAGAACTTTAAGATCTCTTTCTACAATACCTTGAGAGTCTGGACTGATAATCTTTTTCCAAATACAATGCAATGTATAAGTATCAAAAACCAGAGTATTCGGGTTCATCTGTGGAAGAAAAATATGAAGCTTTGGCCTGAGGCAAACATTTATCACGGTCTTCTTTTTGCCCCAAGAGTTAAGAGTTCTTACCCTCCAATATCCTGTTTCACAAAGTCCCCAGGTTCTTGTCGTCTTGATTCCCCTTGGCCAGTGGTTCCAGGGAAGATATTAGTCAGAAAAAGAAGCCCAAAGTTGGTCATGTAGAAGTGAATCATTTGTGTGATTTTCATCTTCTTAGGGAAGAACTTGTAGAGACCTGTGAGATCCAGAGTTCAGGGGAAGGTGAAGGGAACAGGGTAAGGAAACAAAGGGAAGGAGGAGGAAGAGGTAAAAAAAAAAAAAAAAAAAAAAAAAGTTAACTCTATTAGAACCATTTAACTTCTCTGCTATCCAGTTATTTAACACTTGATTTGACAGTCCCCTCTCCTCGGCTTATCAATGCCACTAATATTTATTCTCAATATCCCCCTCTCCAGACCACTAGCATAGGGTAGCATAAAGTGCTCTATATCAGTAGTCAGGAATCTTATGTTACAGCTTCATCTCTTTCCTTGCCTTTCTGTACGACTAAGTGAGTCAAGACTTCTTTCAGCTTCAATTATCTCTTATAATCCAAGAGTTTAACATCGTCTCTCATGTCTTCATTTTATTTCTCCCCAAACCTTTGTTTGATCTTTAGCATAACAAAGGACTTTTTCCTGGTTAATTGTGCAACACTGTAGAAAATTTTATTATATTAAGACCTGGAGTCTATTTATGGCACTTTTGGGATTGATTGTTATGAGAATCAAAGAACCTGGAGTATCAGATAGGTTGTTTCCTTTGAATCAGGTTGAGAAAATGCTAAGTGATGACACAGGACGGTTCTTGAATAAATCCAGTGTTTCCCCATAAAGAGATAGATGAGTACAAAGTCAGCTTTTTTTACATAGGGGAAATCCAAACACAGCCTCCTGGCAAAAAAGTCCCAGAGAAAGTCCCAAAGCAAATTATACAGATTATAGAATTAGTGATTTGAAATTGCCTATATGTAGGACTGCATTATGAACTTTGTGTGGGTCAAAGTTAACCAAGACACAGGGTTAAGAAAACAGACAATAAAGTGATACTTGTTTGCCATCTCTAAACGGTGTAGTTCTTTGAAGCTGAGAAACTTTCTTCATTGAAAAATGGGATTAATAATATAGGTTTTTTAAGGACTATAAACATGGAAAATGCTTAACCAAAGGCCTGCTTCTGGAATAGCTATGCTGATAAAATCTATCCAGAAACAAATTCATTCCGTCATGAACATTCAACTATCTGATATATACAAGGTACTGACACACTCATTCTTTTATTTATTTATTTTTTGGAGAGGTTTTTGCTATAGGGCGCGTGCGCTTGCCAGACAGACAGAGACAGACAGAGATACAGAAAGCGAGAAATCACCCCCAGGGGGGATGGCCACACCGCAATCCCTTCTCCTCCATTCTGCTCTCCCATGCACATGTGCCCAGCGTTAAGCCACTGGGTCGGGGACACGGACCGCGGTCGACTACATGGGAGTCCAGTGACATAGCCATTACGCTAACTGCTGGTCCCTCGATTCTTCTATTACAGTTCCTAAGACCATCAGATACTGACACTCTGCCCACAAACTCCTCTACTCGCATGAAATGAAAAACTGTCTGTGAGGGGACCAGCAGTTAGCATAACGGCTATGTCGCTGGACTCCCATGTAGTCAACCGCAGTTCTAATCCCGGACCTGGTGGCTTAAAACTCACGCCGGGCGCGTGTGTGTGCAAGAGGAGAATGGAGGAGAAGGGATTGCGGCATAGCCATCCCCTCTGGGGGGTGATTTCTCACTTTCTATCTCTCTGTCTCTATCTTTCTGGCGAGTGCATATGCCCAATAAGAAAAAACCTCTCCAAAAAAAGAAAAAAAAAACTATCTGTGAGAATTTGACTGGAACAAAGGTATCTCAAGTGCTGCTACTGAGACACTAAAAAGTCAAATCTGCCATCTCTTTGCCTTATCACTAGAGTTTTATTAATGTCATCTAATTCCACTTAGGGTCCAAACTCTATCATTCTTAAAAGTTTTAGAGACAAAACCATCTTCCTTCTAATCCTTGATATACCACATAGAAAGTTGGCATTGGGAGCTAATTCAATATTCTAATCTATAAAATGTTGATAATGATGATACTGTCATACAGGTATGTTATGAGAATTTAATGACCTAATTCATATATACCACTAGGCATGATACTTGGCATACAATAATCCTTGGTCATTATAACCTTCAAGTTAATCTCTTTATCTCTTGCCCTCCAATGAGCCTCAGCTCTACCCTAATCCAGACATCCATTCCCATAGTCATATCTTAAACCTTCATTACAAATCATGATTTCAAATAGCTCTCTGATGACATTTTCCCAAACCATTCATGTATCTTCATACTATCAATTCTTCTACCACCCTCACTCCAACCTGGGATCTCTAATACATCGATCTTTACAACCTTTGAACTGTTCATCATTACCTTCATGTTCTCATATTCTTTTATTCCCTGCTTAGATTGCATATATAGTACATCATCATTAAAATCAATATACTCTCTGGTATAATCAATATATCCTCTGGTATGTACCATACCCTCAAAACACTTGCCTCTTTCTTACCCTGTTATATCTTCCTTGGGAAAAAAAAAGACATAAATCCTGTTTAAATCTAACTCTTTACCTGTAAATTAGCATATGAATACAGCTATAATAAATGAGCAAAATTATGTATGACTTAGACTTCCTTTAAATTTTCTTCAACATACTTCAAGTATCCCAAAATTGTTTCACATTTGACAAGTCATTTCACTCTTCCACTCTTTGTGACAACTATTTTTCACTTTCTCTTCTTTCTGTAAACCTCCAACAACTCTTCTCTCAGAACCTCAAAATGGTTTTGCTAATAAAAGCAATCAGAAGACAATGTTATCTTTCTAATATCAATTATATTGACCTAGCTGAATCTCAGCCAAATACTCTACCTTTCACCTTTATCAAAGGTGTCTGCGTACCTATCTAATGCTCTAAATGTGCCCGAAATTCTATTCCCTGTCTATTGCTCAAAGACATTATTTTGGTGCTTGTCTTATCTCTTCTGTTACTGTCAGTTTTTCCCTCTCTACTGGCTCATTCCCTGCAGCAGAAAAATGATAAAATAACATACATCATTTTTTTTAAATAAAATAAAATAATCCTTTGACCTGATATTACCTTCAAATCTCCCAATTTCTCTGCTTATCTTTATATTAATTCATTTCATTACTTTTCTCTATTACTATTTCAATTTCTCCACCAAATGTTTCCAATACTCATCCATGTCAATCAATCAATTATTTATACTTATTGCCCCAATGAAATCAATCCAATGATCCATTCATTCAGAACTTACGGAGCAAATTTATGTACTAGACATCATCCTATGTTCTAGGAATAGAGCAGTGGACAAAACAAACCAAAAAGGAATCAAGGAAGAAAAGAAAAACAGTAAACATGATTGGTTGACCAAGGACTCTGCTCTCACATAGCAAATCCACCCATATCCAATCTGCATCCACACCTTGATTTCTCTCTTTCATACCTTGCATTTAAACTATCAGCTTAACCTACTGACTTTAAAACATATATATTCCCAGATCACTTCTCACCACCTTCACAGCCCTCAAGCTGGTCCAAGCCACCATTTCCCATGACCATGACTATAGTAAATCACAAGATAATTTGTCTCTGCTCCCATATTTGCTCCCTTTAACTTTTTTCTTTTTTTGGAGAGTTTTTTTTTTTTTGCTATAGGGCACATGCGCTTGCCAGCCAACCAGAGAGAGACAGAGAGACAGAAAGCAAGAAATCATCCCCCACGCCACAATCCCTTCTCCTCTGTTCTCCTTTCAGGATCTTGGGCACGTACACGTGCCTGGCATGAGTTTTTAAGCCACCAGATCCGGGATGCAAACCGCGGTCGACTACATGGAAGTCCAGCGACACAGCCATTTTGCCAACTGCTGGTCCCTCCCTTTAACTTTTTGAGGACCCACCATACTGCTTTCCATAAAGGCTATACAAATTTGCATACCCACTAACAATGTGAAAGACTTTCCTTTCTCCCCATCTTTGTTAACACTTGTTATTTTTCATCTTTTTAATAAAAATCATTCTAACAGATGTGAAGTGATGTCTTATTATGTGTTTAATCTGCATTTAACTAAGGATTAGTGGTGTTGAGAATTTTTCATGTACCTGTTGGCAATCTGTATGTCTTGAGAAATGTCTGTCCAGGTCCTCTGTCCAAATTTTTTTCATTTATTTTAATGGATTTTTATCTACTTTTTTTTCCAGGCAGATCTAGTGTTTCCTTAGTAATGAGCTTGCCTCTGTAATCTTGAAAATAATCTTCTCTGTGGCCTTTGTCTAACCAACTCCCACCCTTAGACTAGTTATAATTTTTTTCTTTTCTCTTCTTTTATTTTATTTTCTTATTTTTTGCATTCAATCACTGTACATCTTTACAGCATGCAAAATGGATTTTTCCAATACGAATACACTATATATTGTCCAGTCAAAGATACTTCCATATACATTATCATCACCAGATAATTTTCCATTTTTGTGTTTGTTAAATGCTTTGCTTCTTGAGACCAGCAGATGGCGTAATGGTTATGTTGCTGGACTCACAAATGACTGACCATGGTTCAAGTCTCAGACCTGACAACTTGAAACTCATGCTGGGTGAATGTGCATGCATACCCAAAATCCTGAGAGAAAAATGGAGGAGAAGGGATTGTGGCATGGCCATGTCCCCCCCCCCCCCCCGGGGGGGGTTTTCTGCCTTTCTGTTTCTTTTTGTCTCTCCAGGGAGTGTACACATCCTATAGAAAAAAATCTCTCTCAGCAAAAAAATACTTTGCTTCTTTTCTTTCCCCTTGATTCTCTCCCTCCCACCCACACCTCATTGTCCACCTTCCTCCCTCATTGTTTCTACTATTAACAGTTGCTCACTATGCCTTTATACCTTCCAATCAACTTTCAGTTTCTGTCATAGAGTGTCAACATTTGGTATATATTAAGTGGAGACATACAATGCTTCTCTTTCATAGTCTGACTTGCTTCATTCAACATTAAATCTTCCATATCATCCACTTTTGATCAAATGCTACGGTCTAATTTTTTTATGGTTGAGTAGTATTCCATAGTGTATATGTACCATATTTTTTCA